AGGCATCCTTTCTCTCAGGTGGGGAAGAATGAGATGCTGTTGACGATGACAACCACATCTATGCAACAGGAGCCGGCTGCACGCCAGGCAGGGTCCACGCACTTTACAGACAATGTCTCAGTGCGTCTCAGTGTTAACGTGCATGTGAATCACTTTGGGATCCTGTGAGTCTGGTTCAGAAGGTTGGGGATGAGGCCTGGGACTCTGTACTAACAGGCTCCCAGGTGATGCCCCATCCTCCCGTCCATAAGACTGAGCAACAAGGTATTGTTTCATCTAGTCCTCACAACAACCCAGTGAGCATCTGTAGAATTATTCCCATTGTACAGATGAGGAAATGGAGACGTCAGGTGACTCTCCCGGGGTCATTCATGCGCGAAGGAGAGGAGCCAGGACTGGATGCAGGGCCCGTGTGCTTACACAGCTCTGCCGTGATGAGGCAGCGGGGCTGCCAGGGAGAGGGGCTCCCCAGCAGACTGGGGGTTCAGAGAACGTTTTGGAGAATGTGGCTCCTTACGGGGTTCCAGCAGGTTAATGGTTAAGGTATTAACCAGGTAAAATCCAGGAGGGGTGGAGTCCCAGGCGCCGCAGGGCCCCCAGGGCCGGAAAACAGGTTCTCTAGAAGGATCGGTAACCTTTCTGTTGACTCATCCTGCCCCGGTGACACTTCCCTGGGGTCCCCTGCATTCTTGAGTGGGCGGCGGGTGAGGAAGGGCCCTGCCTCGATGCTCCCCGGGCTGAAATTAGCACTTGGCATTGCAGGTTTCTGTCTGCATGCCTGTCTCCCATTGGAACGTTTCCTCCTTCTTCGTCTCTGTCCCCGAAAGCCCCAGCCTGGCACGTGGGGCGAGAGCACCTGCCCTGCTGACTCAGAGGGGTAGAGGCGGAGGAATGGTTCGAGAGCCTGATGAACGGGGCGCCCCGGAAGGTGGGTGCGTGTGGGGGGCTGCAGAGGGGATTCTGGGGCAGCGGGGAGGAGTGTGTTCACTCGGCGACTGGAGAGGGTCCTACGGAGTCATGACAGGTCTCCCGGCCAGACTGCCTCTGAGTCCAGCGTCTCCCAAATGCCAGCAACTCACCACCTTGGCAAGCTGCTCATATCCACTTGCCACCTGGGCCCTTGTGTGCTAAATATTTTTCTTTACATCGATTTACTATATCACCTAACATTTTTTTTTCCCTGGGTTCATAGTGTTAGTCGCTCAGTCAGGTCCGACTCTTTTCCACCCCATGGATTGTAGCCCACCAGGCTCCTCTATCCATAGAATGCTCTGGGCAAGGATACTGGAGTGGGTAACCATTCCCTTCTCTAGGGGATCTTCCTGACCCAAGGATCGAACCCGGGTCTCCAGATTGCAGGCAGATTCTTTACCAGCTAAGCCACCAGGGCAGTCCTTGGGTTCATAAAACATATTTAAGTAAACTTTAAATTTTATTTACTTGTTTTTCTTTCAGTTTTATTGAGATATCATTTACACATAGCACCGTATACATTTAAGGCATACAGCATAAGATTTGACTTACATACATCATTAAATAATGACTACAATAACTCCCGTGAGCATTCATCATCGCATATCGATACAAAATAAAGAAAGAGAAAAAGAAATACTTTTCTTCTTGTGATGAGAACGCCTAGGATTCACTCCCGAAACAACCTTCTCAGGAACGTACAGCAGTGTTGGTAATATTAATTGTGTTGGACATTACATCCCTAGGATTCATTTATCTTTTTTTTTTTTAAGGGTCTCTAGTTGAGGAGCACCGGCCCTGGGGCTCGTGGGCGTCTATAGTTTTGTCTCCTGGGCTCCAGGGCACAGGCTCAGTCCTTGGGGCATGTGAGCTTACTTGCTGCACAGCATGTGGGATCTTCCTGGATCAGAGACTGAACCTGTGTCTTCTGCCTTGACAGATGGATTCTTTACCACTGACCACCAGGGGAGCCCTTATTTATCTTACAACTGGAAGCTTGTATCTCTTGACCACCTTCATCCAATTCCTCCCTCCCCCAAACCCCTACCTCTGGTATCCACAAACCAGACCTTTTTCCTATGAATTTGTTTGTTTTTTTTGAAGTGTAATTGACCTACAACATTATGTTAGTTCTTGTTATATGACATAATGATTCAGTATTTCTACACATTACAATATGCTCACCACTAAACTTTCAATCTTAGACTAGTTTGAAATTTTCAGAAAATTTGCAAAGATGGTACAGAGAACCCTTACATATTTTGCACCCAGTTTCTAATTGTCCCCCCTGTTGTCATCTTACATTGCTATGGTTCATTTGTCATAATTAATGACCCAATGTTGATGCAACATTATTAACTGACATCTGTGTCTTATTAAGCTTTTGTTAGATTTTCCCTTATCTGATGGACTCCCTTTTAAACTCAAAAAAGTTAAAAATAGGAAAATGAAAGACAGCGGAAAACCACGATCACTTGGCAAACAGGATTCTAGCTGGATGCTGTTGGCTCACAGCTGACCTAAACTTGAGGCCTGCTTTCTCTTTGCCCAAAAGGGATGTTAGTAGAAGGTAGAGGTGTTAAAGATGGGTTACCTTGAAGCTAAGACTCTCCCAGGCCAAATGGGATGGGAAGAGAACTGCCACAGAAGTAGACTGACATTGGCACTGTAGTGTCGGTGGGACTGCTCTGTGCCCACTCTGGGCACCGCCCGGAGTCATCTCGGTCACTGCCCCAAGCGAGCCTCCCCTTGGGAACTGCCAACCCTCAAGAAGCTGGAAACCCCAAGTCTGAGACTGCAGGTTTCCAAACCTGGGGGGTTCCTTTCTGCCCTGGAGGGCAAGGCAGAGGGTCTGAGGTCTTCACTGGCCCAGGGCTGTGGGGACATCATCTGTCTTCTGTATAGTAATGCCCCAGCTGAATCCCCAAAGCCTGCAGGCATTGGACAAGGGCAGCATAGAGAGCTTTCTGGAGAATTCCATCGTGTCACAGCACGTGGGAAGGAAACCCCTTGCGTGGCATCAGGCCTGCTTGCCTGTCGCGTGTGCGACGGGATGTGTGAGTGGTCGGTGAGCAGGAGGGCTGAGCTGAAACTGGGCTTCTCAGCAGCCCTTGTCTCAGTGGACTCCTTCACGTTCATTCCTTTAGAAGGCCTCACACTGGCTTTTGTGTTTCATGAGTTAGAGTAGGTGATATTGTTTCCTGAAACCAAGTCATCCCTTTCCAATCCAGGACTATGCTTTCAGATAGAGATCTGCTGGCCTCCTTTCCGGGAGACCAAAGCCCGCTCCGGAATAACTCGGACAGCTCCGTGGCTCTTAAGGAATTTTACTCAGAGGAAAGTCACTTTCAGCTCTGGGACCCACCACCTGACTGCATGAGTGTATGCTAAGTCGCTTCAGTCATGTCTGACTCTGTGTGACCCTGCGGACTGTGGCCTGCCAGGCTCCTCTCTGTGGGATTCTCCAGGCAAGATTACTTGAGTGGGTGCCATGTCCCCCTCCAGGGGATCCACCTGACCCAGGGATTGAACTCACATCTCTTACATCTCCTGCATTGGCAGGGGGATTCTTAAGCACTCGTGCCACCTGGGAGAGGTGATCAAAGTGGACCGTTTGCAGAATTTCTGGGTTCACTCCTCAAGGCCGACATTTAGTTCTTGGCTAACAGATTGCAGAATTCTCTGAGTTAGTCCAAGGAGGCCAGCGGACGGATGAAATTTTCTCCGAGTATGGGGTGCCATGTTGCTGGTGAAGGAAGCTGGTTGGGACAGAGATATTAGATAAATCCATTTCACTTTTTGAAATGAAGCTACTAGGGGTATGAGCACCACCCTTAAAATTTGCCTCCCCCCTTTCCCAGAGGTAATGACTCAGTGAAGTTTATATTCTTCCAGACTATTTTCGTGGCTTTATATGTGTTTCCATAGCATTTCATTTTATGTGTGTGTAAGGGCGGAAGGTTGCACAACCAAGTTTATATTGACTGTATCATTCTGATCCCCTTTTCATTCAATAATACGTCTTGAAGACCCCACTCCATTGTTATGTACAGATGCAGCTCACCCTTCAAATCCCTGCCTTGGATTCTTGCATATTCCATTTAATCAGTCATTTTTTTGGGTAAATATTTCTGATGTTTCTTATGATAAACTTTTTTTTTTTTCTTTTTTAAGCAAACGTCAATGTGCACGCCTCCTTAAGGATGAGCATTAAGTGATGTTCTGGCTGGCAGTCTGTGCTTATTTCTGGTTTTCAAAGTTATGGCCAAATTACCCATCAGTCTATCTGTGTGTGTACCTGTGGGGAGGGATGTCAGTTTCTCTTCTCGAGGCTGTTTATTCCCAGTGTCTTGTCTGCAGTGGCGGCAGGGTGGCAGGGAGCCAAGGGGTGCAGAGAGAAATTCATCTCTAGGTGTTACAGGCTGGGAGGCACCACAGAGGCTGGGGGGTGATGGCGTCAATGGGGACTTTGTTCCTGGTCCGTCCCTGAGCAGGATCCCAAACCAAGATGCGCGGAGGTGACCAAAGAGCTGGACTGTGTCTGGACCCCACTCGTGACTGGCAGAGACTGTCAAGTTCATAGGAATTCCACATACATGTAATGGGGGTGGGGCGGGGGCAAACCCTGAAATAATTAGGTTGTAAATAAGGAAAAGAGGCAGTAAAAGAGGGTGACCACTAAGTGCAAAGATGGAAAGGGAAAAGGCCAAACTAATTCCCACCCCGGGGAAGTGGGAGGTGTGCAGGCGGAAGGGGCTTGAGCGGGAAGCTGGACCAGGGGATGGGGTGCGCCAGGTCGGATCCAGGACAGAGGCAGGGGAGGGGGCGGCCGGGAAAGAGGGGAGAAGGAGAGAGACCGAGGGGAGGGGGACCCGAAAGTGGCAAGGTAAGGGGGGCGAGGAGAGGGCGGGAGGGGGAGCCTGCGTCCCGTCCCGGGTCTGTTTGCGATTAGCGCCGAAGTCGGGGGCCGAATGAGTAAGCAGAAACTTCCAGGCGTCCCTACACCCCCCTCCGAGGCCAAGCAGAAATCAGATGCTCCGGTGATTAATCGTGGAGAGTTCAGGACACGACCACAAACGCCGTACAGACTTGAAATTAGCTGCCTTTCCCCGGCCCCCTTGCCAAGATGGGAGTGGGGGCCGGGCTGTGAGGGGTGGGGGCCCCGCCTGCTGGGGGCCAGCATGGAACTCTCCCCGGCGGAGCTCAGAGTGACACCGACGACGGGCGAGCGGCCGCGGCCAGAGCCGCAGGCGGCATCCGGGGGGGACGGGGCCGGCGGGGGGGCCCCAGGCGGGCTTCCTGGAACCCCGCTCCGCGGCCGCCTGCACCCCGACCCGGCCCGATAAGAGCCCGGCCGCTGCCGCTCTATCGGACCCCGGGGAGCGCCGGCCCCGCGAGGGAGGCCGGGCCGGGGGGTCCTCCGAGGCCATGTTCCGAGCGCACAACCTCATCTCCTGAACCCCGCGCCGGTGGGAGCCGCCGCTCGCTGTCTCAGCGATAAAGAAAGTCGAGCTGCCTCCAGGGGGACGGGGCGACGCGGGCAGAGAATGTTCGGATCTGCCGGGTGGTGAGTGTGGACCAGACTCCGGGGTGGGAGGGCGGCGTGTCCAGCACATCCTACCTGGAGCTCCGCGAGCCCTGAGGCTGAGATGGGATCGCAGGAGGACCTCGCTGTGTGGCCTTGGGCAAGTTCTTTCCCGCTCGGGGCCTCCCTTTGTCCATCCCGAAAATGGGTGGTTGAAGGAAGTCGCCTTTAAGAAGGTCTTACTATGACTACTATTTTTTTTTTCCCTTCTTGTTTTTGACTGTGCGGCAGGCTTGCAGGGTCTTAGTTCCCCAACCAGAGATTGAACCCTGGGCCCTTGCAGTGGAAGTACAGAGTCCTAACCACTGGATGCCAGGGAATTCCCTATGACAACTATGATTCTGGGTCTGCTCCACCAGGCGTTGTGCCAGGCACTGATGAAGCTTCAGCTCGGACGATCCCCTCCAGCCCAGGGGCAGGATAGAGCTTATTACTATTATCCTCATCCTACACTGACAAAGGGAGGCTCAGGGAAATGAAGTGACTTGCCCGAGGTCACATCGCTGGTTGGCAGCAGAGATGGGAATCAGATCTCCATCTTTCTAACTTGCCTCTTGCTAAGCTCTGCACTTCTGGGAGGAGTTGGGATCCTCTGTGTTCTCTGAGGTTCTGTGATGATCCCAGAAAGCAGAAGTGAAGGAGGAGAGGGACTGTTGTGTGTAGGAGGCAGGCAGAGGGACTGGACAGGCGAAGCCATAGGCCGACCAGCCTTTGACTCTTTGGAGGGTCTGTCAGCCCGGGGATGGGCAGGGGCTCCTGGCTTGAAGGCAGAGGGCCTGATGCCCCTTGCGGTATTTGCTGCCCTGTTACAGAAGGCTCCCGGGGCCATGAGAGAAGCGGGTTAATGTCAGGCACGGGTGGAGAGAGCGGCACATGTCTGTATGAGGTTGTGTTCCAATTTTATTTTGCCTTTTCAAAAATCTGTTTCGAATCATTCTGGGCTCCCACTGCTCCTTTGGACCAAACAGAATTGTGAAACACATGCAGTGCTTTCCACATGCCTCCCTTGGGGGAATCACGTACTCACGTCATCAGGGGCGATTTGCATATGCACCCCTGCAGCTGTGATAGCAGCCAAGAGATAAGATGCAGATAAAGGCAGCGAGTGTCTGTCCGGCACCGACCAGGAGGACGCACGTGACATCCACTGCCAGGCCGTGGCAGGTGGGAAGTCCCTTGGGTGCCCGGCATCTGGGCAGAGCTGGGAGTCCCGACACCCACATGTGGCCTTGTCCTTCTTCTTCTCTGGGAAAATTCCATCCGGCAGCAGCTCTGAATTCACTCCTTTTCTTTCTGGGTCTGGCCCAAGCCCTCTGCCCTGGGCTTGACTCGAAACCCGACAGGCAGTCCTTGCTCAAGAGTGACCAGCTTGTCCCAGGAGATTCCCCTCAGTCCTGGGCAAACCCAGATGGTTGGTCACCCTGCGCAGTTCTGCCCTTGATTTTTTTTTTTTCCTTTGCAACTTTGAGCTAGTGACTCGCTTTCTCACATCTGTGAAACAAAAGTATTATTTTAGGAAGTCTTTACAATCTCTTTGCAACTCTAAAATGCTGTGACGCTGACTGGAGAGAGTCAGAGCACTCAAGTTTTAAATGTGGGTGAGACACAAGCTTAAAGAGGAGGAAAACCTCCCCGTGAGCCCCCCAGCGCATCAGGGAATGTGCTAGAGGAGGCTGGAATTCGGACGAGCTTGAAGAAGTGACTGCTGGCCTGCAGTGCCCAGTGACTGGTGTCAGTGAGAACAGTCCTGGGTGGCCACAAGCTTCAGAAAGGTGCTCGTTCAGTCACTCAGTTGTGTCTGACTCTTTTGGAGTGTAGCCCGCCAGGCTCCTCTGTCCATGGGACTCTCGAGGCAAGAATACCGGAGTGGGTTGCCATTTCCTGCCATTCCCAGGAGCCTGGGAATCTTTCAGACCCAGAGATCGAACCCGCCACTCTTGCATCTCCTGCAGGCAGAGTCTTTAGCAGTAACACCACCTGGGCAGCGTCTCTGTTGCCAACACCCCTCTGGTGGGGCCAAACTCCGCTGCTTCGTGCCTGAGCTGCTGTGGGTCCCTCCCCCGCCTGGGATGCTCAGTTGTGTGGCCCTTGCGTGTGGTGTGCTGGAGCCAGCTTGGACTGACTCGTGAAAACCAGTTGTCAGGTTTTTAGAAACCTGGTGAACTCCTTGGTAAACATAGCCATTATTAAAAATTAAACTACATAAATTTATAATTAAATAAATGACATTAAAAACAGAGGTCGTAGGTACTCAAAACTCATCACTTTCCATTTTTAAAAAAGCTACCTGGTTACTGATACTAGTGTTCCTGGGGATACTTACATCTGGCATGTCTGTCTGGTGGAACTACTTCAGTGCACTATTGCAGATCTCTTCCCAATTCCATTTTCTTGTGACTTCAGGTTGGTAGCCTGAGGTCAGCCATGGGTGGGAGTAATGACACTAAGAGAAATGGCAAACAGTACAACTCAGGGCTTGATTTATTGTTTTGTTGATTATCTAGGTCAACAGACAGAATGACCTAGACAAAGGGAGGGAGGGAGAAACAGCTGATGCAGATTGAACACAGGAGTGTGTTATCTCTCTACTTGGTGAAGTGGGAATAGCACCAAAAATGGAGGAAGCTGCTCACTTTGTTGACAAGCCAGGAAAGCTCCAACCTGCTCTCTGCTGTATCCTTTTTTCTCATTGCTCAGCGTAAAAGCAGATATCAGCCCACGTTCCGGAAGGAACTGCAGTCGCTCATCAATTTTAACCATAGGTTGACAATAGATACGAGAGTTGAGGGGCAAAAAATCAATAACAACGTCCTGTGTGAATCACTTGAGTATCTGAAATTTACAAAAAGGGGGTTATTGTACATTTTATGTTTATCTGTAAGTTGTTTGTTACACATCCTTTATGTCAAAACAATCTACAGTAAACCTGAGTATATATGTGTTCTAGAGTGTGTGTAAATGCATACATTTGTACACACGTGTGCATGTGCTTACACACACATACACTTTCCCCCAGAAAACTGGTTGGTAAACCTTTACCCACACACCACTGGCCCCAACACATCTCTGCTTGTGCCCAGGGTCTTAGAAATCTTGTGGACTGTCCTGAGAGACCATGCACAGCTCTCACCCAGAGGGATTCAAACTCCAGGCAGCGGGCCTTGGATACAACCCCTCAGCTTCTTCCTCTGGCCTCAAGCAAACCAACAGCCAAACTCCTCTCTCCTGCCCTACGCCCTGGAGTGGATGCAGAGACTGGGAGGGGCAGAGGGTGTCATCCGCACCAGCTGCCTCCAGCGTCCCAGCTCGGGAAGCAGGAAGGCCCCGGTCCCTGCGTTCTCGGTTCCCTCATTCACGCCCCCCACATCTGCGGGATGTTTCCGGGTCGCCTCGGGGGCAGCTCCCTGTAAATTCCATCCCATTTCAGGTCTTGCTCCCGCCATCCTTGATGTTAATACACAACACACGATTCTCTAATCAAAACGGCTCTTGGATCGCAGAGGAGGAACAGCCAAGCCAAACCTGTAGGGAGGTTCAGACCACCTTCTATTTTTAGAAAGCCTTGGAGCCAGGTGGGCTCCTTCCAGTCTCCCAGGCCGGCAAGCACGAGAGGAAAATATTTCTCATCCCCTGCTCCGCCTTCTTAGGGTGCTGGCCAAGGAGGAGGCCCAGGTGGGGACACTGGCCGCCTCGGAGAAGCGAGGCTGGGATGGCAGGAAGCGAGCCCTGCCCGCAGCAATTTTAAAAAGAGCTAAAGCCAGTTTAAAAAAAATTGTTTTTTAAATTTTGCATGTAGGAACAGCAATCCTGAGTTTAAATCTCAGTGGGTCCCATTCCAGGCAACCTTTCCCAGACCGTTCATTCACTCACATGCGTGTGAGTGTGTGTGTTAGTTGCTCAGGCGTGTCTGACTCTTTGTGACCCCCATGGACTGTAGCCCACCGGGCTCCTCTGTCCATGGGATTCTCCAGGCAAGAATACTGGAGTGGGTTGCCATTTCCTCCTCCAGAAGATTTTCCAGACCCAGGGATTAAACCCGGGTCTCCTGCATTGCAGGTGGATTCTTTACCACTGCGCCCACCTGGGAAGCCTATATTCACGCACATATGTAATTTAATTTTCAAGACTGAGATATTCTTACATTTTATTCTGCATCTTTCTTTTTTCACTTGACAATACACCTTGGGTGTCTTTCCCTCTTAGCACAGAAGACCTAAACCTTTCCATGCCTGTGTGACAGCCCCCTGGAGGACTGTGAGAGGGGAGCTGTGCTGACAACCACATCTCTGTTTTCAAATCAGGTCTCAAACTTTCTTTTCTAAAAAGCTTTATGTATTTTTATTATTTATCTGGTTGCACTGGGTCTTAGCTGCAGCCTACAGCTTGCAGGATCTTCAGTCTGTCAGGGCCTGTAGAACTCCTTTTTAAATTAGTTAATTTGGCTGCGTTGGGTCTTAGTTGCTTTCGTTGTGGCTCGTGGGTGCTGCATGTGGGATCTGAGTTCCCCAACCAGGGATCGAACCTGTGCCCCCCGTGCTGCAAGGCGGATTCTTAACCACTGGACCACCAGGGAAGTCCCGCGTCTCAAACTTTCTTGACCGCCAAACACACAAATAGAGCCCAGCTGCTTCCATTTCTCAGTTAAAGGACCCTGTTGACTCCACCGTCCACCTGTCTCTGGAAGCTGACCGCTCCCCATCACCTCTGCCGCCTGCACCCTGGTCCACGCGGCCACCGTCTCTCTCCAGACTGTTGTGGCCGCCTCCTCCCTGATGTCTCTGCCTCTCCGCTTGCCTCTCTGACGGCCTCTTCTGCACCTGCAGCCAGCGGGGTCTTGTTCAAAGGGGATCGGATCCCGCCCCTCCTCTGCTCAGGGCACCTCCTCCCCGCTGGCCTGGCTCCCCCTCACCCGGCATAGAAGGCTAAGTGCTAACCACAGCCGCCAGGCCCCACAGAACCTGGGCCTCACCTCCCCTGCCCGCCCCGTCACCGAACTCGCCGCTGAGTAGGGTGCTGAGCACAGGGCGGCCTCAGGACCTTTGCCCTTGCCTCCCCGTCTGCCTGGGACACTCACTCTCCAGATCTCCCCGTGGCTCCCTCTGTACCTCTTGCCATCATCGAACACACATCAAAACATCTTCTGCTTGAGGGGCTTCCTTGGTGGCTCCGCGGTAAAGAATCCGCCTGCCAATGCAGGAGACCCGGGTTTGATTCTTGATCCAGGAAGATCGCACGTGCCGCAGAGCAACTGAGCCCGTGTGCCACAAGTACTGAGCCTGTGCTCTCGAGCTGGGCAGCCTCGACTCCCAAAGCTCTGCAACAAGAGAAGCCACAGCAGGGAGAAGCCTGCACGTCGCAACTAGAGGGTAACCCCCGCTCACTGCAACTGGAGAAAGCCGGAGCGCGGCAGTAAAGACCCAGCACTGCCAAAAGGACAGAATCATTTTTTAAAAATAGAAATGTGGAACCCTGGGCGCGCGGCCCTTAGACCGCCCTCCAGCCCGCGCGCGGCCGAAAAACCCGCCACGACCCGCCGGCCAAGTCCAAGATCGGGCGCGTGGCGACCCCGCCCGCCGTGGATCCTGCGGAATTCTTCGTGCTGACAGAGCGTTACCGGCAGTACCGCCAGACGGTGCGCGCCCTCAGGCAGGAGTTCGTGACCGAGGTACGCAGGAAAGCGCACGAGGCCCGGGCTGGTGTCCTGGCAGAGCGCAAGGCGCTGCAGGACGCCGCTGAGCACCGCGAGCTGATGGCCTGGAACCAGGCGGAGAACCGGCGGCTGCACGAGCTGCGGATGGCCAGGCTGCGGCAGGAGGCACGGGAGCAGGAGCGGAGGCAAGCGGAGGAGGCGGCCCGGGAAGCCCGAGAGGCGGAGGCCTGGGCCCAGCTCAAGGAGCGGGAAGTGCTGCAGCTGCAGGAGGACGCAAAAAACTTCATCACCCGACAGAATCTGGAGGCACGGGTGGAAGAAGCTTTGGACTCCCCTAAGAGCTACAACTGGGCTATCACCAGAGAGGCGCTGGCGGTCAAGCCACAGCACAAGGGCTCCCGAGGTCCCGATGAGCACAATACCCACCCAGGGGCCATGGGAGTAAAGGGGTTGGGTCTGATCTGAAATAAAGCAGTTGGCGTTTCTGATGAAGGAAAAGGTTCTACCTATTCCAGTGCAGCCTTCGCTCTGGGGCCTCAGCTCCTGCCACTTGGTCAGAAACTCCACACATGCAGTGCTGTATTCTACACCCATGTGCAACTCTCAGTAAAGCACCAGACTGGAGAAGTTTCTGTCTCACAGAGCAGCTTAGTCCCCTCAACAGCCAGTTGTCTCCTGAGTATCCTCGGGATCAGTGGTTGGCATTTTGCAGTCCTTGGACAAAATCTGGCCTATTGCTTGTTTTTGTGAATAAAATATATTGAAACACAGAAATAAATAAATAAATAAATAAAAATAAAAATAGAAATGTGAGTTTCCTGAGGGCAGGTTTCTTTCTTTCTCTTTTTTCCCCGTTTTATTCAGTGCTGTATCCACCCCATACCAGGCACTCAGTTAAGACTTATGGAAATATTGGCTTTGCTACATTGCCAAGGGTGACAAAACAGTCCAACTGAATTAGGGTCTCTGGGAACCTCTGGCTGCAGGCCGCATTTCATTTATGAATATCGCGGCTTAGTAGCCCATGCTAACTTACCAGGCAGCCACTTCTTTGCATAGCAAGCAAGTCTGTGGAATTGGGCATGCTCAAACGGGCCTGTCCGGCCAACCCAGGCCCAGGTTCTGGGCTGTTCGTGTGGCCCCTGTATACTCACCCCTCTGGTCTGCCTCAGGTGTAAACAGCCCCCTCTTTCCTTCCTGAGTTCAGATGGACCCGGGAGTCAGGCAGATGATGGGGCGAGGATCCTGTCACGGCCGGGTGGCTATTACTGTGATGTCCCTCGAGTTGAATCCCCTCTCTCGCCACCCAGCACTGCTGGCGGCTCTGCACGGACCCGTGCGCCCAGGCTCGCCCTACAGACTCCCTCCACGGGTGAGAAGGACTGAGGGGAGGGGAAGGCCCTGCAGGTGGAGGCCCGAGGAGGTAGGCTTGGTGGTCCCTCCAGACCGGTGATGCCTCCACCCACCAGATGCCAAATAGGCCGATATCTGGTTGATAGCAGCTGGAACAGCCCAAGCTCTCTTCTCACTTACCCAGAGGCCCCCGTTGGGTCCCTGGCTCCCAAATCCAGGTCCAGAGAGCTGTCCTTGAGTCTTTAAGAGCTAGACCTCAGGCAACTTGAATTAATCACAGTCAGGTGAAAGAGGCCCCTACCCTCCATCTACGCTCCTCACCATGAGACAGGCACTATTCCACACACTCCACATGTATCGCTGTAAATCCTTTCAGCCCTCGGATCCTGCCCCGCTTCACAGATCTGCAAACCAGTGAACAGACAGGTTAAGGAACTTGCCTGAAATCACACAGTAAATGGCAGAGCTGGGTTTGGATCCAGCCTGTCTGGCTTCCTCTGGAGTCTGCACCGCCTCTTGGTCGAGCCTAGTTTGTTAAGCGTCATAAAGTCTTCAGTCCTTGGTTGTTGTTTAGCCGCTAAATCATGTCTTACTCTTTGTGACTCCAGAGACTGTCGCCCACCAGGCTCCGCATTTCCCAGACAAGAATACTGGAGTGGGTAGCCATTCCCTTTTCCAGGGAATCTTCCCAACCCAGGGATCGAACCCAGGTCTCCTGCACTGTAGGCAGATTCTTTACCAGCTGAGCCACCAGGGGAGCCTTGAGGTGCCCCAAAGCCAGCTGCGAGTCTTGTGGGGCGTGAGAAGGGGCTGGACCACGGGCGGGCAGGTGTCCACTCCGGGCTGGGCTGGTTTGGCCGTTGACCTTGGTGACCATCTTATGGCCAGAAATACTGTCCGGGACAAGTGGTGACCAACACTCTCTCGCCTTATTCGTGCGAGGCTGACGGCCATGCTCAGGCCGTTGCACACACACGTCTGGAATACCTATTCCGAAGGGTAATTCCCAGGGAGAAAGCGTGTTTATACTTTTCTTGGGGGGAAAATTCCATTTCTGTTGCCAATCAGTTCCGCTTGAGAACAGCTTTTCTCAACACCAGCATGTTGGCCGCCCGGGCTCGCGTTCTGGGGATGAGCTCAAAGTCGGGGGGGGGGGGTGGAGTGACTTTTCTTTCCTTCTTGCACCCCGCAGCCGTGATACCCAGCTGCTAGTGTTGAAAGGGGTCCTGTAGCTCACTTCGTTTTCCTTGTCATGCTGACTCCAGGAAAGGCTATAAAAACCGTCAGCGGGCCCCACTGGCCGTAACTGGCTGGAGGGGAGGTTAGCTACCACAGTGGCCGAGTTATCAGAAGCCGGTTGAGACTAGGATGCTTCAGTCAAGCCTCTTCTCCTTGCACTGGGGCGCAGGGCGGGGGCCACTGAAGGGGGTTTGTCTCTCTTCCTTCCCGGCTCCCAGGGGCTGCAGGGGCTCTTGGCAAGACGGAGCAGCTGGGAGGCCGTGTGGCGGGCTGGTCCCCCGAGGGCCTCCGACGCCCACTGCCCACACCAGAGCCCAGCTCTGCTGTAGCTACAAGCCGTGGACTTGAGGTCCTGTGGCCTCGGTTTCCTCATTTTTAAAGTGATGGTCGTGGTCCTTCCTCCTGAGATCGCTGTCAGGACCACACGAGTGGATCCACTCGGAGGAGCCCCTGACTGCATGTAAAGTCCTTCCTAAACGGCAGCTTCAAAGCTTAGGAGTTCTTTATCTGTGGCCACACTGGGTCTTTGCTGTGGCGCGCGGGGCTCTCTGTGGCTGTACACGGGCTTTCTCGAGCTGCAGCGGGTGGGGGCTACTCTCTAGCTGCCAGTGAGGACTCCTTGTTGTGGCGGCTTCTCTATGTGCAGAGCTTGAGCTCTAGGGAGCGAGGGCTTCGTGGGTGCCGGGCACAGGTTCGGCTGCCCCGAGGCACGTGGGATCTTAGGTCCTGGACCGGGGATCAATCCAGTGGCCCCTGTATTGGCAGGCGGATGCCTAACCACTGGACCGCCAGGGAAGTCCCTAAACGTCAGTTTTTATTACTGACTCAGTGACTACTGATTCATTCTTACTCTGCTGACACTTGAGGCGCGTGTGGTTGTGCCATTGTATCTTAACCCGGCTCCCTGTTGATAGACCTGTGATCGGTTCCAGTCTTTTGTGATTTCAAAGCACGCGGCATTGAATCACCTGTAGCTTTGTGTATCTACCGCTCCCCTGAGGTCTGTGAACCCCACAATAGCCTTGGCTCTGGACTGTCCTTCCCAGGGCCTGTAGAATGACGAGAGCTGTGTGGACAAAGGGCCAGCCCCAGCCTGGCATGCAGACAGGCCGGTGGGACAGGGCAGGGTCAGGCCCTCTCGAGCCATCCAGCCCCCGGGGTTCTGGCCAATGCCCAAGGTGGCCTGGAGAGAAGAAATCTGTGCCATGCAGGTTCTGCCCATCTTTTGTGATCCTCTTCCTCCAGGAAGCCCCCTGGGATCTATGTTCTGACACTTTGTGGCTGTCTCTGCATGGATTTAGTACCACGGTGTCCTGCTCCCTTTTGAGGAGTGAAAGACCTTAAGATGAGGAGTCAGAAAGGCCTGGCTTCTTAGCCCTCCACCCACGTAACCCCCAGGGTCTCCGTGTCCTCGTCTTTGTGAACCAGATAATAACAATAATGATAGCGACTCCTCAGAAAGGTCTTGGGAGGTCTCAGCAACATAACATTGGCGGAATGCTTGACCCCGCATTGGTCCCGGGAAACACAAGCTAAGACTACGCGTGTCGCCTGTGGGAGGGTCCAACTGCCTGCCCGCTGAGCTCTGGGCATTTGCAGGCAGCGGTGTCCAGTCTGGAACCAAATATGAAGGGAGTCCAACCTAATGGTGTGGCCTTGGGCGAGTCGTCCTCTTTCTGGACTGAGTTTTCTCTCGAAAATGGGGGTTCCGATGATACCTATCTAGCAGGATTGTTTGGAGAATTCAGTGAGGCCAAAGCAAATAATGCTTTGGACCTGGCAAAGGCTCAGTCCACGCCAGCTATTGCTGATATCATTCATGTTGTGTTACTGGCTGTCAAACACCCTCCCAGAAACTGGCACAGCGTCGTGCGTGCCCCGGCTGCTTTGCGGATCAAACGCACTGCCTGAACGGGCCAAGTCCGCTGGTTATAAGGTGGGGTCTGAGGGAGGCAGTGATGGAAGACCCCATCCCTCCTGTGGTTGACTCCCTTAGAGAGAATACAGGAAAACCACCCGAGACGACCTCACCTGCGGCTCGTGCCTTCTGCCGGCGCCTAACTCTGTGGGATGCTGGAGCAGGCGTCAGCACCCCCAGTTCACAGATAAGGAAAAGGGGCTCAGAGACCAGAGAGCCTCTCGCCGTGTTCCACAGCCAGCTCACAGCGCAGCGGGGGCCGACCCGCTTCTCCTGACCCTCAGGGCAGTGATCCTCACCCTCGCCTCACACAGGAAGTGGACCGCGGGGGCGAGACGCAGAGTCCCTCTTTGAGCAGGGCCCTTGCACATTTCTGACATTTTTGCATCTGGGGACACGGGGTGAAGAAACTCAGATGAACCGTTCTGGTTTCCTGGTGGACAAACACTCCTGACCCGGGGTGAGGGATGTTTGCTGCTGGACTGGGTCGGTCAGAAGCGTGGTTTTGTCTGGGTTTTTCCTTTCTTCCGTGCACCCGACTGCAGAAGATCCAGAGAGGGTGAACATGCTGAAGACCTTCGGAACTGTTCCAGGGTCTCTGAAGGGCGGGAGGCCCCTGAACTGTGATGCTGGAGGCCCGGTCCCGCCCGGTCTGCTGTGGGACCTGCCTTGAATGAGGGCCCAGGAAGGAGCAAGGGGTCCCTGCCATCCCCTGACCCCTCCATGTGTCCTCTCCTCTCGTAAGGACACCAGCCATTGGACTCAGGGACCCCCTAATCCAGCATGACCTCAGTGGAACTGATCACATCTGCAAAGACTATTTCTAAATAAGGTTATATCCTATGTCTCTGTGTAGACACAGATTTTGGGGGGACACTGTCCAACTCACGACAGCAGCTAATAGTCACCATTGTTATCACTCCCTCCACCGCCTATTGAGGCAGGATGCCCAAGT